ACGAGCACAGGGCGCTGGACGAGCGCGGCGTGCTGGACGACACACGCGTAGCAAAGGGGGAGCGCCCGAGGGGACGAGCGTGCGCGACACATGTAGGTGGCGGGGACGCACGGGCAGCAGACCACGAGCGCGTAGCGTGCGCGGCAGGCGACGCGTGGGAAGCACGCGTGTGTGATACCACATGCACTGAGGACTAGCGAGCGGCGCGAGCAAGCGGGAAACTAGGGTTTTGGGGCGCGACCGAGTGGATTAGGGAGAAAGGAAAAGATTTGATTTTATTAGCTTTCTAGTATGATTATGCGATCTTGAATAAAGGCATGTGCCTAGTAGTATTTTATTTACATAGTAATTCAAGATGTTAGGATATTTACTTCCCTTAGGAGTTTATTTACTTGTAAGATTAGGAGTTCTAGTTGGAATAGGTCTAGATTAGTTTGGCATCTATAAATACCCATGTACTCTTCTTATTTTGATATGATTGATAAGTTAATAGAAAATTGAACGTGAGTTCAAAACCGTGTGTTTAAGATTCGTGAGAGTTTTATCATACAACCGAGTTAGCAAGGATAAGACCCAAGTTATCTCAAATTCGTGAGAAGATAAGGCTAATAATCGAGTCGTCCACATCTATCATCGAGAGCAAGCCGCGACAAAGCTAGTTCCGAGACAAACGAGTTGTGCGAAACACATGATCTTCATCACGCTGTCGGGCGTGCAAGGGCGCGGTACAGAGTGCTGGGGTGCAGGGCAACACCTCGGGTGCGCTGGATGCGCGGCGCTCGCGCTGTGCACGCAGGGGCACGTCCGCCGGCGCGGCAGGGTGCTGGCAGTGGCGCTCAGGGCCCGAGCAGATAAACAGGGTTTCAAATAGGACCGATCGATTTTAAAATGCACTTGACCAATTAACTTGAAATTTTTACAGATTAAAAAGAACCCAGAAAGACATGTTTTCACCAAGTCCCAACCCCAAAACTTCAGTTAAACCAAATGGACCCATTTAGGCAAAATATCGACATAAAATTGAACTTACAAGTTCTCCATGCAAACGATGGAGTTGTCAATAAAATTTCGAAACAACACACAAAATATCAGAATAGTATCATTCACCAAAATTCACATCAAAATTCCAAGAATTCGATTTTATATGATTTTTCAAAGTTTCTGCCCAAAATCAAAAATTGATATTTAACATAGCTACAGAAGGCATTTTGACCTGAAACTTTTACACAATTGACCATACTAACAGAGGACTACTCAGGTCAAATTTCATGTGATTTGGACAATCATGCGATTTATGACGATTTTAGCAAAATTCAGCAGCAAGACACAATTCAAAAATTCATATATGACACCATACTCATCAAAATCGTCGAAGGCCTTCACCATGAGGCCAAGGACTCTCAAATGTTTTGTAATCTACATCCCTAACACGAATTTAACAGGGTCCCACATAAATTCACATAATTCGAATATGTTTCAAAATAAAGGCAATCAATACTTAACTCTAACATGCAATTCCATCAAGGCTTAGCATATATCACATATATTCATACAAAAAAATAAAAAAAATAAAAGAAGTTCAGGCCTTATGTACCGTTCCTCAAGGAAAGGTACAAAAACAAGCAAGGGAGGCCGAACGGGTCTACGGTGCGTGCACGGGGGAAGCCTCGACAACGCTGCTTGGCTCGGCAGCGGCGTGAGGGTGTCTGCTGGGGAGTCTTGCGCGTTACAGGCCTCGGGACAGCGAGTGGCTCACGTGAACAGTAGCGTGCGTGGGTTGCGAACAATGCTCAACGATCACAGATAGCAAGTACGGGGTGTTGCAGCTGTGGACAGCGGCACGCGTGAACACGCCGGGACTCTCGAGGGCAGACGATTGCGATGTGGATGCGCGACGGTGATGGGCGATAGGAATAGGACCCGTGGATGGTGGCATAAGACCGAATTGCGAGCAGCGATCAGGACACGGGCACGCGATGGTTCAGCAGAACGCCAAACGCGTGCAACGATGGAGAGCACCTCACGGGGAGGCACGACGTTCGAATAATGGTGGTGATCGGCAGCGATTACAAGCAAGAGGGAGAGGGAAGAAAGTTACGAGAGATTGGGAGAGATTGAGTGAGAGAGGGAGAGATGGTGAGCTGCGGGGAAAAATAATGAGCTAAGGGGTAAAATCTATCATATATATAGGCTAGTTAGGGATCCCTAAACCTAACTTACCTTTCTTGACCATCAAGCCAAAAAGAGGAGATAGGGAAATCGGGTATAGGGCAAAAGGCGGGTGAACGGGCGCGGGTCCTTCAGGCCGAGGGGCGCGGGTTCACGAATCGGTTCTCCTCTCAGTTCTACATTAATGATATTATCAGTTTGGCTCGAACACACGAAAATAAAAACCGAATATATATATATATATAATACACATTTTAATTAAATATAATATTAGGCAATTAGACACGTAACAACAAACAAATATACAATAATAAATATAATAAGGCAAATAATAATAGCAATAATTAATCAATAATTATTCTCAAATAATCCATAATCAAACGGGGTATTACAGTCTATCCACCTAACAAAGAATTCCGTCCTTGGAATTAAAAAATAAAAAAACTAATCAAAATGCCATAATACAAAGGGCTCAAAATGAGAAAGTCGGGTCTCTCCTCCTAATATCAGCCTCCTTTTCCCATGTCGCCTCAGACTCGTCATGTCGGCTCCACAGCACCTTTACAAGACTAACCGCCCTGTTCCTCAGCTGATGGACCTTATGGTCAAAAATGGCAACTAGTACCTCCTCCTAGGTATGGTCGCGCTCGACCTACAACTCGCCGAAGTCCACCGCATGGTCAGGATCATGCACATATCTCCAAAGCATCGAGATGTGAAACACATCGTGCACTCCCGACAAGTCCTGTGGTAAAGCCAGCTGATAAGCTAAGTCCCCGACTCGAGCAAAGATCTCGAATGGCCTGATATAGCGAGTTTTAAGCTTCCCTTTATTTCTGAAGAGAATCACACCCTTCATGGGCGAGACCTTCAAGAAGACATGATCACCGACTTCATACACATGCTCTAGCCTCTTCCGATCGGCATAGACCTTCTGCCTCTGATGGGCAGCCCTGATGGTCTTCCGGATCTCCTCGACTGTCGTCGAAGTACTTCGAATAAACTCTGGACGCATAACCTTCCTCTCTCCGACCTCATTCCAATACAAAGTAGTCCAGACCTTTCGTCCATACAAAGCCTCATACGGGGCCATCTTGATCGAAGAGTGGTAGCTATTATTGTAGGTCAGCTCGACTAACGGAAGGGCATACTCCCAAGTCAGGCTCCGGTCCAAGAACACAACCCTCAATATATCCTCCAAGTACTAGATCGTTCGCTCCGACTGACCATTTGTCTCGGGGTGAAAGGTTGTGCTGAACTCCAACCTCGTCCCAATGGCTCGGGGCAACGTCCTCCAGAACTGGCCCATGAACTTCGGGTCCCGATCAGACAAAATCTCCATGGGCACTCCGTGAAGCTTAACAATATCCTTGACGAACAGTTCGACATAATCACTCGCCTTCATGGTCGTCCGAACTGGCAAAAAGTGGGCAGACTTCGGAAGTAGATCCACGATCACCTAAAAAGAATCATGCCCGGACTCGATCTAGGCAAACCTACCAGGAAGTCCATGGTGATGCACTCCCACTTCCACAAGGGAACCTCAAGTGGCTTCAACAGCCCTCTCGGTTTCTGGTGCTCAGCCTTCACTTGCTGACGCACTAGGCATCCATCCACGAACCTCGCCACCTACCTCTTCATGCCTCGCCACCAGAAAGATTTCCTCAAGTCCTGACACATTTTCGTGCTACCAGGATGGATGGTGGTGTGTTACTTGGGCCAACTTTATGCTGGAAAAGAATCATGCCCACCTTATTTGAGTTGCCAATGTTGACCAAGATTGTGGAAAAAGAAAGGAAAGAAAAATGTGGCAGAAGGAAAGAAGGTATATAAGAGACTTTGTGTAATCCCCCGTTTGAATAAGGATTATTTAAGATTTTTAATTATTATTATTAATTGTTATTATATATTTTCTAATTACTAATTATTTGTCTAAGTGCTTGGTATTTGAAAATAAGTATTATTGTTATTTATATTAAATGTTTAGATGACTAATTGCTATTATTTGTCTAAAATTATTGTTATTATTATTAGTAGTAATGTTTATATTAAATGTCTAATTTGCATGATTGCTATTATTTGTTGGTATTATTATTATTATTATTATTATTATTATTATTATTATTATTATTATTATTATTATTATTATTATTATTAATTGTCTAAATTTTATTTATAAATAAATTAAATAATATTATGTGAATATATATATTTAATTATCCCAATTTTATTTAATTATCGAACTTTCATTTCGAGCCTCGATTATTTAATATTGTTACCGAGATTAGGCCAGTGAGCCTCGAACCCGTGCCTCCTGCCCGACTAGCAACCCGGTTCGCACCTTTCTCACCTTGGTAGCTTACTGACCAAGTTGGTAAAAACCTAAACCTAATGTTATAAGTAAAGGAGAGATTAACCCTGAGCAACAATCTCCCACAGCTATTTTTTTTATCTGCTGACCTTTCAATCTCTCTCCTTTCCCGTCGCTGCAGAGCACAGATTCATCTCGCTCGCTTTTTTTTTTTTTCTCTTTCGTTTGTTCGTTTCCCCACAGCACCATAATCGCTGTCCCTCTCTCTTGCGAAACCAACGCCTCCGATCACCACCATCGCTACAGCGCCATCGTCATCACCGCAGCAGCCGCTGCTCCGCCACCCCTGTTCGCAAACCAGGCCGCCGTGCTCCTCCGTGAGTGTCTCCCTCAGCAGGTCGCGACCACCGGTGCATTGTTTCTGTTCGCCATCGCTGCGCAATCGTCGAACTCATTCGCTGCTTTTCCCACGCAGACCATCATCATGGCGCACTACCTGTTTGCGTGAAACCAACACCACTCATTTGAGCCCTACGTCCTTTGCCCGATCAACTCCCGCGATTTGCAGCATGCGTGAGGTCACCATCGATGACCCAGCCCCGTCGTCCCTGCTCGTGAGTTGCTGCTCGCACACGTTGCTTTCGTCGCCAAAGTCCTGTTGTTCATCGTCCCCGCAAGCAGCTTTTCCCGGAGTCCAACGTACACAACCGCGGCCAAGCTTGCTGTCCCGAGACTTGTGTTCCGTGGGCGAGCCAAACGAAATTGTCGAGCTCCCTCGTGTGGTCTGTTTCAGCCCCGGCTCAACTCTTTCGCGTGTCCCCATCCCGAGAACGGTACCCAGACTGATTATCTCCCTTGATTTGATGTGTTTATATTCGTTACTTGTGGTGCCTTTTTGTATTATTAATGTTAGGAAGTATGTTATGTGTTTAATTTTGGGATACGTTCGATTTTTTGAGAAACCGTTCGAGGTCCCCTTCAATTCGTGTAAGTGCTATGATATTGGAATCATTATTGAGTCCTCGGCCTGATGGCGAAGGCCTCGGATGATTTCGATGATTGTTGAGTCGTTTATGAATTTTCGAAACGTGAATAGCTGCTGAATTTTAATAAATTCATGATAAATTGTATGCTGCTCCGATTGCCATAAAATATTTTTTGTGTCCTGTGTTAATATTACATGTAGTGTAAAAATTTGAGAATTTAATTCCATCTATAGCTATTTTAATTAATTATGTCAATTTCGGGGCAGAATCGTATAAATAGCATATTAAAATGAGTTGTGCTCCAAAAATGGCTGATTTTTAAATATGTTGTTCCTTTTTATTAATTAGATGTTATGTAAGATTTTCGTAATTGTTGGACTTCTTTTACTACGGTAAATAATTATTTGTGATTTCTTGCTGAAACTTGTTTTAATTATGATAAATCGGCCCTTTGTTGTAAATTGCTGAAAATTGGTGAGCATGCTCTTTTTATGTTAAATTATTTGGCATGAACTTTTCAGAATTTATTTTGTTCAGTAGTATAGGTTTGTAATTAAAATAATTTTTCTGCTGAATTTTGTCGAAATTTTTATAATTCGTGTGTTACATTTTTAAGGCTGGAATTTTTATATGTTAGTGTTACATTTTGTAGTTGCTTGAGTTAAAATATGAAGTGTTAATTAGGTCATATGGTTAAACTTTGAAATTTTGTTCGAATTTGTTGAAAACTTTATGAATTTTATAAAATCAAGTGGTGTGAACTTTGTGTTAAAATTATGGAGTCAAACTCATTCGTTTGCGTGACCATCTTGAATTTGTGTATTTGCCGTTAACTATTTCGAGTCGGGTCCAAGTGTTCCAATGTCCACAGAACTCCACGAACGACTTGGTTGAATCGAGTTCAACCAAATATGATTTGTGTCTTTCTTCTAAGGTCAAGATAAGTATTGGCCTTATTATCTTGACTTATTGTAGGTGCTTCATGAGCCAAGCTCGTCGCCTATCCATTATTGTTAGTGCTTATCACTTACTGTCTCCAGGTGGGTTTTATTTAAAAATTGTTATGCCATATATCTTTATGTATGTTGATATTGGTATAATTATTTTATATATATGTGAACCTGGTAGCCTATCGATGTGAGCTACAACGGTAGTCCCGTCGATGTGAGCTTTATGCCCTTCGACGGAGCCTAATGATAGGCAGTACGAAGGCCATATCGTATATAAGACCGGGGCAGTGGCCGAAGGCTTTCTATATGTAACTTACGATAATCGATGCATACTCACCACCCGGTATTCACACGAGCGGAGACCATCTCACCTACCTTGTTCTCAATCACAGTCACGCCTGACTTTTTTGGAATCACTTGTGTCGGGCTCACCCAAACGCTATCCGAGATCAGATAAATGACCCCAACGTCCAACAACTGGATGATTTCATTCTTCACCACCTCCATCATGGGAGGGTTCAGCCATTGTTGTGCCTCTCGAGATGGTTTAGAGTCTTCTTTGAGAAGGATGCAATGCATGGAAATGTACGGGCTTATCCCATGCAAATCGACAAACGTGCGCATGTTGGCTGCCTGCGCACGCTGCTGGGCTGCCTGCGCATGCTGGGCGCGACTGTGCGCACGGTGGCAGCCTCCGAGACGACCTCATCGCCGATGTACCGACTGTTCGTTTGTAGTTCTTTAACACTTCAATGAGGGCCGCTTCCTGATCATGTTCTAGCTGTGATGACACTATCACCAGGAGTGCTCGGTCATCTCCCAAGTAAGCATATTTCAAGTGGCTTGTCAAGGATTTCGGTTCAAGCTCCGGTGCCTGCAATGTAGAAGGAAGAATTTTCTTATCTGATTCAGGTAACCAAATAAAATTTTTTATCATGCTTTCTAACATATGGCTGTAGTGTATTCAAGGCTGCTACGGCCTCATTAATCAGCCCCAAGTGATTTAAAAATTTTGTTTGATCCCTAGATCTCTGCAGCCCGAGTACAGGGGTACCCTGTACTCCTGGGAAGGTACCCCGTAGTGCTTGATCTTTGTCCAAACTTTGTCGAATCACAATCTCCAGCTCATCTTCCTTATAAGTGTCGAGAAATTCCTGTGCCAACGGTTCAATACAATCAAGTAACTAAACATAATGGTCAGAATCAGGAAATTTCATGGAATCAAAAATATTAAACCGAATAACATTGCCCTCAAACTCCACTGTGAGTGTGCCTTCACGATCGTCAATCTTTGTTTGATCGGTGTTCAAGAAAGACCGCCCTAACAAAATCAAGGTCGACATAGAAGTCCTGTCATTCATACTCAACACATAAAAGTCAGCGGGAAAAATGGTCTCATTAACCTTAACAAGAACATTCTCAATTACTCCATCTGGGAAGGTAGTACTCCGGTCGGCAGTTGAATTACCACTGTAGTTTCATTAATAGGACCAAAATTTAAGGAATCAAAAATAGAGCAAGGCAAAACATTTATTGATGCTCCCAAATCGAGCATGGCTCGCTCGATTTTTAAATACCCTATAGTGCATGGAATCGAAAACATACCCGGGTTTCTTCTCTTTTGAGGAAAATATTTTTGAAATATTGCCGTGACGTTCTCTCCCATCATAATCTTCTCATTCCCTTGCAACCTTCGCTTGTTGGTGCATAGGTCCTTCAAAAATTTGGCGTAGCGAGGCACTTATTTAATTGCATTAATGAGAGGGATATTGATCTCGACTTTCTTGAACATATCAAGAACCTGCTTCTCGGAGTCCTCCTTTGCTGCCTTCCGTACCGTGGATGGAAACGGTAGAGGTCCGGGTTTCGGTGGAGGATAAACCAGGCTACCTTTGTGTCTTTCAATTTCTGCAGCAGGAGTACTGAGGGTCCCATTATTTTACTACTAAGCCCCATACTCTGTAGCTGGGCTCTCTTTTTCACTTTCATCCTTCTCGATTTGAGTCTTCAGGGCTTTTAATTTCTTTCCACTCTACAAGGTGATGGCACCGACATTTTTAGGGTTCATCTCAGGTTGGGATGGAAGTCGGCCTCCGAGTTGTGCATCTAGACAACTCATATGCTCTGCCATTTGACTCATTTGGCCTTCTAAGTTTTTTATGCTCACTCCTTGGCTCTTAATGCTTTCTTGAACACCTTGCTGAAAGTTGATGGAGCTACCTGCAAGCTCCTTAATCATATCTTCTAGGGATTATTATGTCATGGAGTTCGGTTGGCCGTTACCCGCTCGTCGTGGAAAGTTTCGGCCTCTTTGGAAAATTTGGGGTGGCCGATTGTCTTTCTCCGCATACTCCCCCTGAAGGATTCCGATATCGAAGATTGGGGTGATCTATCCATCCTGGATTGTAGGTGTTCGAGAAAGGATCATAGTTTTAGACCGGCCCATAGTTGGACCCTATCGCATTTGCTTGTGCCTCTACCTCACCATTGATTAGCGGGCAATTGTCCGTAACGTGATCAGTCATCTCGCAACGCATGCAAGGTTGCATCCTGGGTAAACCATCAGTGGTTAACTTCCGGAAAAAGGTCGTCAACTCCTTAACTTGGGACTCCAAAGCGCCAATACTAGCTTCATTCACCATTTGAAAAGATGCATTCCCAAGTGCTGAATTGTTGGGAGTTTGCTGCCATATTTGCTATCAGGTTCCTTACGACTGTTGGTGTCTTGTCCATAAGAGTACCGCCACTTGCCACATCGAGCATATTCCTATCCATAAGGGACAACCCCTCGTAAAAGTACTGGATTAGCAGCTGCTCCATCCTCTGGTGTTGGGGACAACAAGCAATGAGTATCTTGAATCTCTCCCAATACTCGTATAGCGTCTCCCCATGAAACTGTTTGGCACCACATATCTCCTTACGTAAATTCGCCACCCTTGATGCTAGAAAGTACCGTTGGAGAAAAGCTTTCTCCATGCCAGCCCATGTGGTGATGGATCTCGATGGTAGGTAATATAGCCAATCTTTGGCTCGGACCTTCATTGAAAATGGGAACGCTCGAAGTTTAATCTGCTTCTCGGTCACCCCGACAGGCTTAATTCCGGAATAGACAGTGTGGAATTCCTTCAGGTGCATGTGAGGGTCCTCGCCTGAGAGTCCATTGAATGACGACATAAGTTGTATCAGGCCAGATTTAAGCTTGAATGTGGCGTCATTCACCGTCGAAAATGTTATGCACAAGGGTTGTTGAAGGAGTTGGGGATTGGCTAGTTGCCTTAACGTACGTTCTCGCTCTCTCGTCATTTCTTCTTCCTCGCTTGAAGAATCAGAATGTTCAGCGTTGTCAGGCTCGCTGGAAGAGCTGTGGTAATCGGCAGTCTCCGGATAGTCCTTTTCTCGGTTTTCGTGCGATTCCTTTGCCAACCTTACTAGCCTCCGATTTTCCTTATCCTTCTTTGTGATTTCCGGATTGTATGACAAAGGTTTTTGTCCATAAGACCTCGTATTCATTCACCTGAAAGAAAAGTGAAACTATAAGTATTGAATGCAGCAAAATACGTCGAAAGAAACGAAAGAAACACGTATTCTGCACACATAGTATGGGGTCCGACAATTCTGTCCAGCAGACTATAGTGGGACCCCGTATTACTGGGAATAGAAAGAAAAGGGAAACAGGGGGGATTCGAGTCGAAACTAAGAAAATAGAATGAGAATAATTATGAAAACTAAACCTAATTTCAATTAATGAAAAATAAATTAACAACTCAATTCCGTTAATCCCCGACAATGGCGCCAAAATTTGACCGCGCGTCGCAATGCGACAAAAGTAGAATTTATATTTTGCTTACAACTTCTACCAACTAGTAGTAGTACTGAGTAAGGGTCGAACCCACAGGGAGTGTGGAATTTAATTGCAATTATTTTTCTTTAATTGAAAGTACGGAAATACAAATAACTGGGGGGATTTTTGAATGGATTAATTAACTAATAGAATTATGAATAACGAGTTGAAATCAAATGCAGTAAATAAAGATGATTAATCAAACAAATGGAGAAGTTTGTAGTCCACGGTTTCGTCTACACCCTCGATTGACTCGTTTAATCGACTATGTAATCAAATCTAGCTATCTTATGGAATTACTAGCCCTAGGTAACCACGGTCTGTTACCCAAATTTTTCCTAATTTTAAATCTAACCGCGAGACGCTCTACTGTTAGACCGGACTTCTTGTACAGTCCAGAAAGTCGCTTTCAAGATTTAATACAATTAGCCGCTTTACGTATTAGAAAAATAGGCTAGACTAAGTAGTGACGCGTTCGTTCACTTAAATAGGCTGTGTTATCCCCGGTAGTAACCGTCTTCCAGTAGCCTCTTATGATATAAACACGACAGCAATTACGGATTGAAGATTTAATTCAGCTGTAGATAAGAAAAGCCTAATCTATGTGATCAATCTAAATAAGACTCAACACATCATGGTTAATTATTCAAAATAACACAAACAATTCCAAAAGATATTGAAATTATCAACCATATAAATCAATCAAACATCGTCAATTATAGAATCGACTGTTAGGAGCTGGCTGTTGAGGGGGAGGTGGAGGCGGGGGAGGCTGTTGATGTTGTTGGTTGTTGCGGGTCTAACGAGCCATAATTCTACATTGAAAGTGCTCGAAGAGTTTAGCACAATAATAAAGGAAATCTAGATTTCAACACTAGAGTTCGCATTTTAAAGGTGGATAGATCCTAAGCCCCAATTTTATTACAATAATCAATAATCAAGAAATGAACAGTAATCTCAAAATCATTCAGGGACTCATACCTGAGCTGGCGCGGCACGAAGAGAGCGAGTGGTCATAACTTAAGGTCAAGGCACATAATCAGATAATTCATATTAACCAGTCTACATAAACGCAGACTGACTCTGATACCAAACTGTAACGCCCCATTTTTATTTGACGAAAATCAGAATAAATTTTTCAAATTTATTTCAATATCACTTGAGTCGCTACTCATTTTCAAAACGCACATCAATAACTTTGCCATGCTCGCCCTTCCTTTGCGCAACCTTCATTGGCCGGCCCGTGTAATCGCGCGTCCAACCCGCGGACTCCTCCTCGTGCTTGGTCGCATGCTATCCCTTGACCAACGAGCTTCGACCCTCTCATGCTCGACCCTCGTGTAGTTGACCCTTGTTGTTCCTTACGTGCTCGTGCGCCTTGCATACGAGCTCGCACCCTCCTCTTAGGCCATGCATGCGTCGCTTTGGCCCTATTTTCAGCCTCCTCGGGTCGTCTTGGCTCTTGGAACTTCTCGTCGTCGCGGGTCAATACCCACTTACGCATCATTCCCGCCCCCTTTGAGAATGTCCTTGTCCTCAAGGACTCATCCTCGACCATCCAAATCTCGGGAACTCTTTCTTCGACCATGCGCACATCCCACTCACGGTCCTTGTCGACCTGTACCAACACCTCGCTATCATCAACAACCACCTCTTCATCCACACCGTACTGCGCGTGCGTCACCTCATCATAGCCTCCATCGCCCACGACCCAAATCGCCTCGTTGACCTCGGCTTCTTCGTATTCTTTGACCTCGATGTGTTGTGCGCGCCGTTGCCACGCGCACGTTTTGCACCAATCACCCGAACTTACCATGGTGTAATCGGCGTCGGTCTCCTCATCCATGATCTCGTCAGCGAACAATGGTTCCTCGCACTCAACTTGGTCGACCTCACACTCGACCGCCTTATCTTCAACATAGCCCGATAGATCGAACGTAAACAAGGGCTCTCCTTCAATGACCTCCTTCATGATCTTGAGTTGTTGTTCGTACTTCTCCTTTTGCTCGTACATCTCCTCTCTTGCTCCCAAGGGGTTAATTCCCTCTGCAACCATGATATTGATATTATTATTAATGTTTACTTTAGTATGAGTTTCTGCGGAGTACAGTGTTTTTAGTACTCACGCTCCCACTATTATCATGTTTTTCAGGTCATGAAGTCGGGACGGAGGAGTGAGATGACGGAGCTATTCGGGACTATGCTTATAAAGCTTAAATTGCCTAAGCTTTATGCTTATAAAGCTTAAATTATGTTTTGTACAGTTTGAATTTGGCATAGCAGTGCCGTTATTATTTTCAGATAACTTGTTTTCACGATCACGGTACTGCTATCCAATTTCACCACTACAGTTTCCGCTGATGTTTTACTGTTCGTCATTCTTAATCAAAGAAATCAGTCGGCGAACTAGTAGTTGGTTTTTCAAACCAAAAGTCCAGATTTTTCAGTCAGTTATGTATTTTAGTAGCACTCCGAATCAGTACTTTGCAATGTAAAATGTTTTATTTTGAATATAATTGCGAAAAGTTCGCTCTGATTTTGATGTCAAGGCAGGGTGTTACAGATGTCCAGTCAGATTATTTATATTATGATAATCCGTTTTTCTTAAAAACAAATTTTTACGGATTTCAAAGCAAATTTACAGTTATGGTAGCACTCCGAATCACAATTTCGCAAACTAATAAATATTTTAAATAAAAGATTTTGGAAAAATTTAACTCTGGTATTTATGACATAGCGGGGTGTTACAGTTGGTGAATACTTTGTTAAGTCAATAAATTTTTTTATGAAACCTGAACACGTCTCGCTCATGCCCCACCGACTACAGGTAAGTGCTGTTCATGTTTTAAATAATAAACAAATTACTACGTCTATGCCTTGTAAAATCCACAGTTATGATTTAGTTAGGTTGCTCGAGTCATGTTCAGGATTTATAGTTCAGTGTATCCATGATTCAATGTCAATATTTCCAAGTTATGTTAAGCAACTCGTCAAGAGATTTGTGCGCATTATTAATCAGTTAAAGTATTCTTATTGAATCTGATGATATCAAATATTTCCAATATTCAGATGCCGTCACGTAGAGAACCAGATCATCAGGAGGTTCCCCAAGCCACTGTAGTCGCACAGTTTCGCGACCACCACTCGGAAAAATTTTCCGGCCAGGGAGATCCTCGAATTGTCGATGAATAGGTCCATGGCCTTGAAATGATTTTCGAGGTCATGGACTGTCCCGAGCATTATCGCGTTCTATGCGCACAGATCCAATTGACGGGTGACGCACCTCTCTGCTGGAACGCCTACTGGGAAATGCGTCCAGATGAAAAAAAAGGGTGTACGTGGGACAGGTTCAAGGAGTTAATTCGCAAAAAATATTATCCCGCGTATTATCGAGCAAAAATGGAGCGTCAATTTTTGCCGCTTAAGCAGGGTACTCGTTCCGTAGATGAGTACGAGCGAGAATTCACTCTACTTGGAGCCTTTGTTCCCGATCTGGTAAGCACAGAGGCAAAGAGATCGAGACGTTTCACAGACGGGCTTTTGCCAGCAGTCCGTCATAACATTGTAGGCCATGGAGTCCAGACTTATGCCCGTACTGTCACCATAGCTCAGGAAGTTGACGCCAGCATCCGAAGGGAGGCCAACCACGATCGTCTTCAGCCAATTACCCCGGACCAACCATCCGCAACACCATCCACTCAACCAGCTATTGTTCAACAACCGAAGGACAAGAAGAGGAAGGGGAAAGGCTTCCAGATCGATAGGAGGATCCGTCCGAGACAGCCAGGTACAACCAAACCACAGCAGATTCCACCATGCACTACCTGTGGACGACCCCATCGAGGAGAGTGTCATTTCAGACAGGATATTTGTTATTACTGCCATCAGCCCGGAGATTTTTCACCAACTGCCCAGAACGACCGCAGCCATGACAGCAGCCACAACAGCCACAGCAACAGCAGCCCAGGCAACATGTAACACCCCAAACTCATGTCGTTCATTTTATGCTTAGTATTATTTTTCATGGATATTATTATGTTTAATTTAATGATTTATAAGTTATTTTTATTTTTACTGTAAGCTCGATTTTATGTGATGATTAAGTGAGTGTCAACACTCATTTATTTATTAAGTTAATGATTAAAAAGGGGAAATATTTAGATGTCCTCATCTATTTAATTTTCCTAAATATTAAATGCAATTATGTTAATATAATTTTAATTTTAATTTATTAATGAAGATAATAAATATTAAGATGATAAATTGAGCTCAAATAACAGTCCAATTTTCCCAAGCCAGATAAAAAGCTCAAGCCTTACGATATTTTCATCCCTTATCCAAGCAGCAGGAATCCTAATTTTTATCAGTTTCCTAGTTCTATTGTGCAAAGAATTCCTATTGTATACGGTACCAATCCCACATTATGTAATATCCCGACATTTTATTAGTATAAATTATGTTATAAATTCCGATATAATAATGTTAATGTTTATTATTTTCGGAATTAATTATTTCAGCCGAGATTACCGAAAATTTATTTTCGACGTACCGTTTACGTTCGGAATAATTTTGGTAATTAAGCAGGATGTTTAATTAAATAATTAAACATAAGGAAGGTGATTAATTAGCACTTAATCATCAAAAATTAAGTCTTAAGCCGTCCCATTTAATTCCAAAGCATAAAGCCGTACGCTATGGATTTATTTTCCACAAAATTTGTCTAAGGGTCGTAGCCTTCCTT